ATGCGCGCGATCATCTCCTTCGCGTCGTCCAGGACGGGCAGGTAGGAGGCGATCGTGTCGACCAACTTCCGCTTCAGCCCGTCCTGGCGGGCCTCGTAGGCCGCGTTGGAGGTCTGGAAATGATCGTTCAGGGCGGAAAGGCCCGCGGAGGTGAAGCGGACGCCGTCCTTGGCGGTGCTCAGCACCGTCAGGGCCGCGCTCGCGCGGAGCTGCCGATCCGCCGTCCGCGGGACGCGAAAGACGTAGAGGTGGGTGTGGTGGAACTCGCACTTCAGCTGGCGCTCATTCCACCCGTGGCCGCGCAGAACCCGCGCGTACTCGGCGTCGATCTCGGCCTGAATCCCGCGAAGTTGGCGGTGGAGCTCGCGGAGGTCGTCGTCGAACTCGGCCCGCATGCGAACCGCCGCGGGGTCGGCGAAGTCGACGGTGGCGTGGATCAAAAGCCGCAGGTTTTCCATGTGGGCGTGGATGTCCTCGAGGGGGGCGATGAACTCGTCCGCCAGCAGCTTCGCGCTCTGGCCGTGGTAGGTTTTGAGGATTCGGATCGCCTCCGGGATGAGGTCGACAAAGGCCAGGAAGCTCGGGGTGTCCTTGAGCGCGAGGCGGCGGCGCTGGAGCTTGCGATTCAGCCGATCCATGTCCCCACACCGCTTGAGGACTTGGTGGACCAGCATATCGCGTAGGGCCGGGCTTTCCACAAAAAGCTCCACCATCGACAGGCGCTGGTTGATGTCGTCGACGTTGCGCAGGGGTTGGAGAAGCCACTGCCGCATCACACGAGACCCCATCCCGGTAATACAACGGTTCAGCCAGGTGAAAATCGACCGCGGGAGGCTGCCGCGGGGCTCGGGTTTTTTGGAAATTAGGTGCAAAGCCTCCACCGCGGCGGTGGTGAGCTTCATATAGGTCGACGGGACGATATGGCGGAGGTAAAAAACCCGCCGGTTTGTCGGGTCCACCACATCGAGCCCGCCCAAGAGATTCTCCAGGGCCTGGGTGGCGAGCGGGTAGTTCTGAAGCTCCACGCGCGATTCGGGAACCCGCAGAAGGTCGGATAGGGCGTCCAACGGACGAGAAAGGGCGGATTGCTTTTGTTTCTTTCGTAATTCCGGCGGCGTGGTGAGGTGCAAAATGGTCCCAGACTGCTCGCAAATGCGTTTTAGACATTTCACACATTCCTCCTCGTGCGGGATGCTGGTGAGGCAGAGCGTGAGCTCTTTGATATTCGTCTGCGCGACCAGCGCGTCCAAGTTCACGAGCTGCGGCGTATCCACATACTCCGTGAATAAAAACTGGCGCAACGTCGCGTTCAACGACGCGAAGCCGACGCGGACGCCGGTGCTCGTCCCCCCGTTCGCGGCCCCCATGGCGCCATCATTGCTCAACACGAGCGAGGCCGTGGATATCAGCTGAATTTCCGTCTCCTCGAACTCGAAAAGCGAGGCCTCGAAGTCGGCGATATTCCCCGGAGACCCGCGCTGCACACACTCGTAGGGCCCACCCCCGGCGGCGCGCTCGTAGAACTCCACGGAGACGCTTCGGTGGAGAAGACAGTCGCGAATCACCTCTTTGCACAGATTATCATTCACGACGACGACGTTAAGTGGCTGCGAGGGCGTTCCCCAATCCTTCAGGACCGCGGAGGATTTGATGTACTCCTTCGCGATGAACATCGCCCACCAGCCAAGCACATAGCAGCCGTTGTTATTCGTCCCACTACGAGCAAACACTCGGAAGCAGTCTTTATGGTCCCCTCCAAGGGATAAGAAGGTTTGCACTAGCCCATTTTCTCGCTCGTCAGACATGGTGTTTCTTTTTAATATGGAGAATAGAAGGATTCAATAATAATAGTAATCTATAATAATGATCTATATAAATAAATTTATATCTATATATAGATATATATGTAGAATATACACCAAACAAGAAGAATGGTTATCGATGTTAACGTTAAATGAAAATGTATGTATCGAGTACGTCCCCTACTCAGCTGCTGTTTTTTCCCTTTGAACAAAATAAAAGATGACGAGGTACCTCACTCGGAAGAAAGAAGATCAGTATCGTGAAGGTGGATTTTAAATTATAGAACACTGTCTGTCTAATCCATAAGAAGATTCCCATATAGTTCAGCCTTTTTTTTCCTTAGGATATCTTATCTATTAAGAACCAACGTCGCAGATAGTTATAGGTTACCGATAGACTCAAACACAAATTAAAACCAACCCTTAGCGGCATCTCAAAGAAAACTACCACCCCTCCTTCTATTCCGTTTCGAGCACATTCCACCATTTGCCAACGCCGCCCATCCGACCCTTTTTTCTTTAGAACTCATCGCCCTCCGCGTCGGGTTTTTCCCCCAGGGGCCCTTGAATGGAGGTCGAAAAGGGGGGAGGACGAATGACCGGTGAGGCCGTTTGGAGTGCGAGGCCGAGGCCCTGCGAGGCGGCCTCCGACCCCCCCAACAGCACGACGCTGAGGACCATCCCCGTCACCACGGAGGGGATCCACCAATTCGCCTTGGAGATGACGAAATCGGAGGTCTTGTCGACGAGATGGCGGAGCTTCTCGTAGAAGTACATTTCATCCCAATCCTTCGAGGCGGGCTGCGGTCGGGCGAACATGCTGGGAAGGCGTTGGCGTGCGGAACGAACGGCGCGGTGGGCAAAATGAAAGGTGGGCTTTGGAAAGCGCAAAAACTTCGAAAAGGGGGGGGGGGGAAGAAGAAGAAAATAGGAATAACGTTGAAAAAAATATATATTGAGAGAGAGAGATGTGTGGGGGTCATAAAAGGATGTGTGAAGGAGGCCCTCACACAGAGGCATGCCGTGGATGGGCATTTTGCATTGTATTCGTTCATTTGTGGTGCATCCGGCATGGTAAAGACTGCCCAACACCCTTAGATCAGAATAAATAAATAACCCAATAAATCGAAATATAAGAACTAGTCTCGTAGCAGGTGAATAAATATGAAAGTAGTATAGGTTTGACGTGTTTGTCAGGATTGCCGCATGCTGTTGCTGAGGGTCGCATTCAGATGGGCCTCTAAATCTGCCACGAATTCCTCAATGGGAAAATAACAGCGCGCGGCCTCGGGCTCGGCTTGCAGGGGCGCGATTTGGGTCGCCGCGTCGAGCGAAGCCCTCCAGGCGGCCAAGGGATTGGCCGTGGCCTCGGGCTCGGCGGGGCCCCCCGCGATTTCGGCCATTTCCGCCTGCAGGAGTTCGAAGACGCAGCGGGCGAGGAGGGCGTGGCCGGTGAAGAAATGTAGCGTCCCGTCGCAGAGGCCGATGGCCGCCACGGCGTCGATCAGCGCCGTGGTGGGCGGGCCGGCGGAAAGAGCGCGAAAAACACCGTCGGCCTCGTCCGAAATCGACCTCCCCGCCCCCTTCTCCGGGGGGGTCGACGGAGCGTCTTGGCCGGTGGGGGGGTGGCCCGGACGTCGGGTGCGGCGGAGGGCGCGGTCGTACTGACGCGTCCAGCGGGTTCGCATTTGGCAGTGCGCGTGGGTGAGTTTGACGAGCGTCTCCATCATCCCGGCATCGACGGCGTCCCGGCCGACGGCCTTGGCGCAGACGAAGTACGCGCGAAGGAGATCCCCGCCGGCCGAGCTCAACACCGGCGTGGGATCGATCGAATCCCAGGCCTCGGATACCGCCCCCTCGTAGGAATCGCCCTGGCAGCCCCCCGGAGTCTCGTGGTGGGGCCCCGCCAGGGCCTGGCCCAACATCCCGAGCCAAGCCGCCCCGCGATCTTGGAGGAAGTGCTGAAAGTGGTCATCGCCGGCGCCGAGGAGGGCGAGGGCCCGCCGGCCCCCCGCGATCCCCGGGCGAATCACCACATCCGCGTGCTGGGCGAACTCGAAGACGGCCCCCTTCGCCCCGACCGCGTGGCCCTCGCGGACGGTGCAGACGAGCGATCTCGCGGTCCAGTAGGGCGCCTTCTGCCCCCCGACCCGCCGGATCGCGGGGCCGGCGAAACGCGGGGGGCCGTCGCCGTCCCCGGCGACGGCGGGGCGGGCCGCGAAAACCTCCCGCAGCAGCCGCAGCGTCGCCGGCGGGGCGGCCTCGATCTGCGGGG